TGCCGAGTGCTCTGTTGTGGTTTGGATGGAGCCAGCACCACATGGGGATTTGGGGCAAGAGAGGCATTCGCCTAGCTCAGAGCATTGCTTGCAGTTGTTTCTGCTGCATTGTCCATGCCTCGATGTTGGAGCCCTTTCAGTGTCCACGGGCTTGGCAGCCCTCTTCAGCTTGGGATGTCCATGTGTCAGAGCCAGGTGGGAAGCAGAGTGTGGCCAGACACTCGCTGTAGCTCAGGCACAGCTCTGCCCTGCTCTGCACAAGCGGTTATGGCACTTACTGACCATGCGATCCTCACTATCCCTCTTCATGGGGTGTCCTATCAAATTCAGGTCCAGCACCTCAGACAAGGACAAGGAAAAGCAAAATTGTGCTTAATTTACAGATCAAATGAAACTACTTTGGGACAAATCTGCTTGCATCACCAAAAACTTGGAAATCGGAGTCAGCAAAGTGCATATGCAGCTTTAAGCATCTGTTATGGTCTATTGGGCATATGGGTCTATTGGCAGTTGGGGAAGAACCATAGAGAAAAGTTGTCCTAACACATCATTTGTTGCGTGTGTGGGTTTGTTTTTTTTTTTTAACTGTACTATAAATGCCCATGAAGAATTGCTGCTTTCAACAAATGGTCATCTCCAACATAACTGAATTAAGTATTCACATTGACTTGTTTCCATGCTTTACTTTGTCGTGTGAAAGTGAATTTGTTTATAAAAACCCAAATGCGATTTTCTCCATCTGAGCTTTTGTATTTTCAGTTCCTGCTTATATGCTATTTTATTTTTCAGGTAACTTTGAGAGCAGAACATCTTCCAGGATCTCAAGAATTTTCACAGGATGTAAAAAATCTGCTTCCCTCCTAGTCTTTAAGTGGGTTAGAAGAACCCAGGCCAAAAATCCTAGACACACTGAAGTCAACTGGAGCTTTCCAATGGTGTCAACATTACCGAGACTCTGATCTACTCCATTCCAGGTCTCTTTGTGGTTGGGAAATTACAAGTCCATCTAAAATCTACATTGTTGGGCTTGGTTTTGCATGGGAAGTGGCTTTGCCCACAGCATACAGAATCCACCAGTGTGTGGCTTCTCGGAGAAACCTAGACCATCCGGTCAAAGGCTACTTGACAGTGAGCTTCAGACCAGCACTGTTTTGCTCAGAGGCTGCTCTGCATAGCAGCACTCTCAGAGGGCATCTAGCAAGCCCTTGATTCCCGAGCATAAATCTGATCACACCACATTTCAACTGGATGGCAAATCTATTTATAAGCTACGTGGGTAAACAGCCCCATGTAGCAACATAGTAATTGCACAGAGTTCTAGCAGGATGATAGAGCAATAATTAACCTAGCAATTACATGTGCTGGAACAGCTCTGGCACTGCCACACTGTTTTAGATGGATGGCATGGCTCTTGCTTGTTTCCTCTCCTGTGAGAAAGAACTTGAAGAAAGTCTTCCAGAGAGCTAAATATTGGGGAAACACAAGAAAACCCACAGAAGTAGATTTGTGGCTGATATCCTGAGTAACTCCCTTTGGATGTTACTCAGGGTATCAAAAAAAAAAAAAAAAAAATGATGCTTTAGAACTGATGCCAGCAAGTCCCTGATTTGGGGAAGGAAACTCAGACTGTCACAATTCAGGTTTATTGCTATGGATCTATGCAATGTGAGAAAAATACCACCCTGGGATGGCTCTTCTGGTGATATAAATGACTACATTGCCATTAGCCTTCATGGTGCTGTGGCAGTTTTCTCCTGAGGGGATTCTGGACCTGCTTGGTTTACCTCCACGCTGAGTTAGGGGAAGACCTGGTTGCCTGGACAAGCTTGTGGTTGCATTTCAGTGCCCCTAACAGCAAAAACGCATACAGTGATCTACATTTGAAGACTACTAAAGATTCAAAGAGATGTTGACAGACAAAAAAAAAAAAAAAAAAAAAAGAGTAAAAATTGTTCTGCAGCGTCATCTTTTGCCGCTCCTGGTGTCTAGCTCAGCTTTCTCATTAAAACAGCAGGAGAAGGGGGGCAAAATAAGCAAGTATCACCTCTTCCAGTTGCCCCTCAGCCACTTCCCTGTGCTGGGACAGAGGCCAGGGGCTCCAGGGAGGTGCCGCGTGGCCCGTGCCCTGGAGCACCCACTGCAGCAAGCGCCAGGCTGGTTGCCACCGGGCGAGTCCCCTTGCCAAGCTGCTGTCACCARCGGAGTCAGCGCAGAGCTTGAGGAAACCCAGCGGGGCAAACGCTGCTAATCCTGCCCCAGCCSTCGCCTGCCCGCCTCCGTGGAGCAGCGATGAAGCCCAGAGCTGGTGGGAGATCCCGAGACCTGCCCTGCCCTGAGACACCTGCACRTGCTGTTGGGTTGGAGGAAGAAAGGGTCATCTGAGGCACAGGCAGGTGAGGAAGCAGCAGGGCTGAGTCTGAGATGCTCACTCCCAGTACACCCTGTTGACTTGGGCCACTAAACCCCAGTGCTGCACTGTAACCCCCATTTTACCCCTTAGGAGAACATGTGAGGCAGCCTTCAAAAAACACCCAAAAGCTTCATGATCATGGATCCAGACTGGTTCCAGCGGCAACAGTGGTTCCTCCCATAGCTTAGGGCCTGAAGGCTTCAAGACCTAATGCGTCTGGGAAGAACACATTAGAAYGCAACTATGAAGCCACCCTGGAGGGAAGGAGGACGCGGAAAAAATACAGCCACTTTAAAAGTTTTATCCTCCAAGAAACCTTGCGCAGCAGAGCTTACATGTCCCATAAACTCTTCTTCTTCACTCAGCCTCTTTGCTATGGTCTTCCTACACAGAGCAACATTCTTACCTACCGGGTACCATGCACTGGAGCAGAGCTGTCCAGAAGTCCACTCCAGGGGCAGATTTGGGGCTAGAGGTGTGTTTAGGGAGGATGGATGACACTACCTATAGCAGCTTCCATCAGGACAKCTCATGTCCCAGGGCCCAGGAGGGAGATTTCTACGTGACGACTCTGCAGCATCCACCCTTTCCACTCTGATTGCATCCAACTCTGCTTCTGTCCAGGCTGCTGCTCCTTCCTCCTCTTCTTCCTCCGGGRAAGGGGCAGAGCTCCCATAAAACCTGCTCTTGTTCCATGCACATCCCACAGCACGGCCAGAGAAACTCCTCCATGAAAGCACCGTGTGGCCAGAGCGGCCTTGCACCACGCAGGGGCTGAGAAGAGCAGGTAACCAGACAGCAGCAGATGGAGCTGCAGAGGACCTAGAGACACGGGGTTATGTGTGTGAACAGGCTTTCAGCGCAGAAGTGCATCACAAGATTCAAGTGCTACTCCTCTCCTCAGCACGCTGATGCACATKGATGCCCTACAAGGGCGAACGCTATGGGAGTCCTCCCAGATTGCTAATCCATTTGTTTTTGAGTCCAGAAACCTGGGATCAGGTTTAACCTGAGGAAGGAGACGAGTGGAGGGGGACAGAATGGGAGCAGCGTGTTTTCGAACGTGCGTGTGCTGACGTCAAAGGCGCGCTCGTGATGGGCCCCAGCTGAGGGGCTGGCGCTCGGTGCTCCCCTGCAGAGCGACTCTGACGCGGGGCGGTGAAGGGCTCACGCTGGGATGTGGCACTGCCCTTCCTGCACGGCAGGCGGGCAGCCTCCCCAGCAAAACCCGAGCAGCGATGCCAGCTCTGCACCGACATCAAGGAGGTCCCCAGGGTTGCACACCTGGAGCTGCAGACCTGCGCCTTGCCCTGCTTATGCAGGCAGAAGGGGACAGCAGTAGCTATAGCRGCAACACCAACCTCACCTGCGAAGGAAAACCATCCTTTCGCCTGGTTAAGTGCCACTAGCTTGGATATTTGCGCCAGTTGCAGTATCTAATTTCACCTTCCCCACTCTTCTCCTTGACTCTTCACTGTGGAGGAGTCTCTGGGACTGGATTAGCACATTTAACTGCACGTTTGCAGGTGTCTTGGCCCTGCAACCACTGGCTTTCCAACAGCACAAGGAGGTGACTGGCTTTGCAGGCCAAAGCTGATTTTACTGGCTCCCAAATCCCTCCAGCCCAAAAAAAAAAAAAAAAATTCTAACACACATTTTGCTCCTACATGCACGATTTGCAAGTATGTGTTAATGTAAAGCTCAACGGAGGTGAAAGCATCCCATTAAGCTCTCCTGGGAAAATGAAGCCGTTGAAATGAGTGCTGACTTGGAGGACTTGTGTAAAGAAAACGGACACCACACATCATACTGCAAGAAGGACAAGAGCGATACGTTCTCAGYAGCAGTCATCTTTACTATGGACCACATTAGATCAAAAAAAAATAGAGAACCTCGTTAACAAGAGACCTAATTGCTAACAAAATGTCATCATGCTATAGGACATACAAGAGAGGCAAATCACAATCACCAGAACAAAACAGCAACCAAGGGAGGAAAGGAAATCCCAAGGCGGTACTAAGTGTGCTGTGGTAGATGCCCTATAGCAAACCTCTAGTGGTGATAACAACACGTTGGTGTACATGTGCACGTGCGTGTGTGTCGGCACGGCTTCCTTTCGCCTTCGAAACAAGTGAAAAGGGTCTTCGTCCCATGCACATCTCCATGTCTCCACCACAATTTTGTTTTGTACGGAAAAAAATAATCAATTGTCCCAAGAACAATGTGCAAGAGTTGTTTCTCCAGGTACAGTGAAACGAGGACAGCTAGGAAAACGACTTTCTCTATGTGGTCCTTGTGCATTGCACCCTCTCCTAATTAAGACTACCACCCCACCTGGAAATCTTCTGGGGCTTTTCTTCCAGTGAATCCCAAACAAAGATTTTAAGGGGGACAAAAAAAAAAAAAAGAGGAAAACAAAAGTTAGGTATTGCTTCTTCTTCTTCTTGTAATATTTTTCCACTCTCTCCCCCCTCCTTTCCCCTTAAAAATGTTTACTTTCAAAAATTCCATTCCAGCAAAGATTCCTCCCAGGCTCTGAGGTCTCTGCACTCCACCCTTGTCTTCTGCAGTCAGAAAAACTGAGTCTTGATGTCTCTTTGGTTAAAAAAAAAAAAAAAACACAAACAAATAACACACAGCCCGGTATGATCCTATTCCACTCTGTGGACGTCTGATGAGAGGGTGTCTTGTGTCTAAGAAGGAAGCATCAGAGACGAGCTGTTTGCTCATTGGAAGTTGAGGCCCCTCAAGTTTCCCCTGGTCGGTTCTCCTCCCCTCATACAGTGGTTGCTGGCCCATACTGCAACACCAGAGGGGAGGTTTCCTTGATCCGCACGTAGAACTGCCCCTCGGGCCAGGAAGTTTGGAGTGAGAGAGGCAAGAAGTCATCGGGTAGCCACTGCTCGCCGTCATTGGATGCGAACACCAGTCCAAAGTGCTCCAGCTGCTCCTCGCTGTAGCAGAGCGCGGCCACGCTGCCCAGCACGCTCCGCGAGACGTCGTTCATCTCGAGCACCACCAGCTTCACCATCTCCCTGGCGGATGTCTGGTTGGTGATGTGCAGCTGTGGAAAGACAAAGGTGGGAGAGATGGATGGTAAGTGGGAGCAGCAAGGAAAACAGGGAGGGAGGAGGGACCCACAAGCCAGGAGGCAGCAAATGGTGTGTCCCGGGGAGCGAGAGGTGCGAGGGCAGCTCTCCACCTCCCGCGCATGATCCTCGGGGTGGTGGCAGAACAGCACCCAGGGAAAGGCCCCAGTGGCAGCCCATCCTGAAGCGGTGTAGCCACGTGCATGCCATGCCGAGAGGACTGGATGGCTTGTGTCAGGGCCGCTGCTCCAGCACAGCTTTCTTTTCTCCACTGCCCCCTCAGTTCGGCTGTCCTGCATGTCCTACCTATGTCTCATCTGTTCTGGCCACCCTGTTCTGGCCATGTTGTCCCACCTTCCTATCGCCCGCAGCGTTTAAGGGCTCAGCTTGCAATCTCTGCTCCTGCAAGCAGTTAGGCATCTCTTTCAGGTTGCTCTTGTGAGCAGGATCCAGACCTTCAGCCTAGCTGAACCACTCTGCCAAATTAGCGGTACTCAGCTGCAGCCCCTCTGGGAAGCGGCACTAAATTTATCTTGTTCACAGCGTTKGGAAGTCCAGGGTTCTCCAGGCAACAGCTATCTTTGCTCTCCCCCATCTCTTGGTTGAGGATTGCCCTCTGAATCCAGAATAAGAACCAGAAAATGAGCTCATCTGTGCTCTGGCTGTTAATGACTGTCAGGAGCGTGATACTTGGCTTCAAAGGCCCTCAACCAGGACATTCATGCTCGCCCGGGCAAAGTGACGGTTTCCTTTGGCACATCCATAGGGGTTTGTGGAGCGCCGCGAGGCAGTGGCCCGGCAGGGTGGTCCGAGCCCTCAGCCCACGTGGACTCTGCCAGCTCGGAGCGAGCGTTAGCAGGGCTCAGCTGATTTACGCCAGCCGGGGAGCCTTCCCTTTGAACTTGGCTTGCTTGGAGAAGAACATCGTAAAACGCTTTCAAGCAGGCGTGTCCAGAGCTTTGCAACATCAAAAGCCACGCGGGCACCTCGCCAGCATCCCGAGGGCTGCGCTTCAGTTGCATAGAAATCTATGGTAATTTTTCAAATGGAAAATAAATACTGCAAGTCAAATTTCCCTCTGCTTCTTGTGTTCCTATTGGGGAAAGAAAAACTGGCTCTCAGGACTCCCCAGCAATGAAACATTAAGCCCAGCATGAAACATTAAGCCCAGCAGCTTCTCCTGTCGTCCTTTCTCCCCAGTTTTATGGGTGAGACGCACTCAGGCCGCTCTGTGAGACCTCTGCCCTAGGCAATAAGCATGGGAAATTTCCAAAGGGAGACTTCAGCAGGGAAAGGAGCTCCATGGCTGGAAGCAAAGGAGGCCGTGGAGCYAGAAGGAGACGTGGCTGAGATCTGTGACCTGGTGCATGAGCCTGCTCAGCCACAGGAGATCCAGCCTGCACGAGCAAAGAGAGCAGGTGGAGGGGACCGCAGAGAGCTCAACTTGTGCAGCTCTCAGCAGCAAAGCCCGTTGCTGAACTGGAAAGGAGACAATTTACATAAAGGCTCCCGTTGTTCCAACGCCTGCAGTGAGCGTGCAGTTTTTGCTGCAATCTTTTAAGAGCTGGAAAARGGCTCCCCTGTACTCCTCTTCCCAAACACGCACAGCTCAAGGGAGCAAAGCAGAGAAAAGAGGGTCAGAAGAAGCTGTGGACAGGGCAGGGTGATGGCTATGGTGCTTGGTCCAGCCTGCTGGATTTCAGCCAGGAGGCTGAGGAGCTTGTGYGGCAGGACCCAGCAAGGAAAGCAGCTCTAGGTGACCTTGCTGGCCTCCCACCCTGGGTGGCACCAACTACTGCAACTGCAGCTACGCAGGTCTGACCCCTCCACAGCACTGTCAGGCTGCTTGGGCTGAGCAGGCAAGCCCGCCGAGCCACGCACCCTGTCTTGCTCTCCTGTAAGCACTGCTGGGAGCTGCTCCACACAGGGACCCTTCCATCACACAGGTAGAAATGGGGCACAAGWGTTGAGGAGGTAAAAAAAAAAGCCTTTTCCAAATATCACACCAAGGTTGGTGGAGGATGGAGAGAACACTCCCAGGCTAGGAGGCACAGGAGTCCTCCTCGCCTCCCTCCCCAAGCCCTGCAAGCCCTTGCTGTCTTGCTGYGGCCGGGCTGCGCTCCTGCTCTGCGCGGGGCTCTGATACCTTCACGCTCGTCTCTTTAGAGAGTCCGGTTTCGTACTGAGGGCAGACCCGCACGGTGACAGAGCCCGGCTTCTTTCCTCGGTTCGCCAAGCATCCTTGCTGCTCCGGCGGCTCCTGGAAGCTCGGAGTCCATTCTGCTGAGCGCGTCCGGAAGACGGGCTCAGAGCTCTGCCCAGCCCGGCTGTGCTCGGGGCTCAGCGTGGAGCCAGTCCCCAGCCTGAGCGGGCTGCAGGGGGCTGCTGTCCTGCTCTCTGTTGGCGAGCTATCAACGGAGCCAGGGCAGGATTTCCTGGCCACCTGGAAGAGCGGCTTGGGGAAGTCCAGGCTGCTGGTGCGAACACAATAGGCCTGACGCTTCTCCGTGATGCGAAGCAGCTCGATCTGCCGGCTGGGCAGGACGAAGTCGCTGTCGTAGAGCTCCGGGGGTGGCCGCGGCTCCTCCGGGGGCAGCGGCGGGGTCTTGAGTTCGTGGGTCTGCAGAACATCAGGCGCGCTGTCCCTGAGCGTGCGGGCAATTCTTCTGCTGCAGCATTCGGGCCCCGAGGAAGAGTAAACCAAGTCTAGCTCCTTAGGACTTTGGGCTCTGCTGGAATCATAGTCACTGTCCGTGGCCAGGAACACCTCTGAGGAGCCCTCCTCATCTGACAAGCCATGCAACTCTGCAAGGAACAGGAGAGAAGAAAGCAGGGTCTTAACACCTTATTATTGGTAGCCGATGACGATGGTTTGAGTGTGACCTGCGTCCAGGAAGACCCCAGGGACATTATGCCCTTTCTGTAAACCTGCACACACAGGGCTGCTCAGAGGCTGCCTCGGAAGGTCATAGCCAAACGCATCCATGACCATGAGGGCACATACACACCCACTGCTTCTAAAATCAAGCTCTTATCTGAAAGCAATTCTGCAGAAACTTAGCCTGGGACCTAAAAGCAGTCTCCAGCTCCCATTTGGTTTCTCCTTCAAGTGCAATGTGGAAGAAGATCTGCTTGTGCAACTTGACAGCGCTTAGGAAAAGGTATTTCCTGACCGAGTCCTCTAGCCTCAGGCCCTAAATTTGATCCACAGAGTTTTCTGTCTCTTCTGGACTCCTGTCCAGCACACTATGTTCACGCTAGGTAGCACCCCCTGAGCCAACAGGGAACACAGGCCTTTATCTTTGGCTCTGCACGGCAACACTTGGACTCCTATCAACTGAGTGGAGAAAACACTGTCAGGTTTTCAATCCTAGGTATTGTTAAAAATGCTGCAAGGGCCCTGTGACAACTGTGACACTTGACCCTCAGTCTCCCAGTGCCATGTGGGTGGCTGTGAGGAACACGCCTGGCCCAAACGCCAACAGCAACTTCACAGGCACACAACCTCTCAAAAAACGCTTTGGTTCACAGGCCAGATCTAAAGCTTGGGTCTCCTTACCGGAGTTGAGCTTACGGCTGGTCTCTGGTGAAGGTGCTGGTGAGGGAAGGTAGTCTAGGTGGGACGAGGTGGATCGTGTTTTCTCTTTCATTGCACTGCCAGATTCACCGAGGAACCCGCTCAGAGACACGCCGCAGGAGGGCTGCTTGTACCGGGCATGTTGCAGGGCATCCATAATCCAGCGCATCTCACGCCAGATCTCCTCCATTTGCTGCCAAAATAAGAAATAAAGGGTCCCTTTTAAAAAAATCAAAGAAAAAAGGATAAAATATCCACAGCAAAACAGAGGCTCCCCCCACACAACCTTCCCAAAGGGTGAAAGCAGCAACAGGAAACCAATGAGCCAGCAGATCCCAAGATAAGCCTCCCAGGTGGGAAGATACAGCTTCAACGGGAGACAGCAACTCTCCCCTTCAGCAGGACCTGCCTGCCACAGAGGTAGCGATGCTGGAAGGGAGGGTGAAGCACGACGTGCCCTTTTGCATCTCTATCCCAGAATACTCCTGGTATGAGACAGCCTGGCCATGCCTTGTAGGACACCATGGTAGCAAGGTCCCTGCTCCGTGTACCTGGATGTAGTCCTGGATCTGCTGGTGCCTCTGCTTCGCCGTCGTGAGCTCAGCATCAGAGAAGGCCTCCCTTAGGCTCTGCTGAGACAGCAGCGACTCCAGTTCCAGGAGGGCAGACACCTGGCAGTACTGGGTGATGAACTCCCGGTCGTACGTGAAGAAGTGGACTTAGAAAAGAAAAAAAGAAGTAGAGTGTGGAAAGAAAAATATCAGGCACACCCAGTATGGGAAGCAGGCCCTGCCCTCTTCTAGCCCACACTAGAGAGCTGRGAAGCCCTGAACAACCCTCCTCCGCCCCGGTGGAGATGATGGAGCATCAGTCCACTTCACCAGCCCTTCCCAAGCACTGGGAGCTCTTGCAGGAAAAGGAGTCGGGAAAGAAGGTTTGGGGAGCATGGCTCATTCCTCTTCTTACCTAGCTCAAAGATCTGCAGTGGCAGCGTGAGGAAGCCGGACCGAGGGGTATAGGGATTGTTCTGGCCTGGAGCAGTGCAGACATCATCTGATGGAGGGAGCAGGAGGAGGAAGGAGACCTGACCTCCAAAATCCAGCACTTCTTGGCTGTACAGACGGAAATCTTTGGCCTGAAAGAGCCCATCCAAAAAAGACTACAGGTTAGAGCTGCAAAGATCACTGATGCAAAATCCAGCTGTTCTCTGTACAAGGTCCAAACACTGCCAGGCATGGTGAAGCAACTCTGGCCATGCCGCTTCTGGTGAGATGKGGCTTTCCACTGAGTCCTCATCCATAGAGGAGCCATCAGTGACCATTCTCTACTGTCACTGGATAGGAAAGCAGCCACTGCTTGCTTCTGTGATAATCCATTTATTTCTCCTAATAGTCTCTAAATCACTGGTCAAAGTCCATTTCTTTTAAACAGTCTCAGGGAAGACCCTCTAGAACCACCAYTGCTGTTCTCAACCCCATCCAGACAGGTGCTTTCAAAGTTATCCAGCACATGTCTCTGTCACTGGAGCTACTGGGAACCTTCCCATGTTTTTTTACAATGTGATGAAGAAGTATTTTTTTTTTTTCCTATGCAGTCTGGCCCAATGGGCTCTAAGTCCTTCCTGAAGTTGCCTAGGAATGCTCCTGTTTCTAAGGGGCTGGGGTCGGCTTGTCTGTTTCTGTCAGAGCTGAGCCACGGCCAAAATAGATGAAGGTGCTGGCAGGCCATAATGCAACCCCAAATTCAAGAGTGTCCATGGCTTTCAGGGATCTGTCCCATATATGCTTGCTACATACTACTTGCTTTCTATTTGCATGGCAGAAAAAAGCAGTCAATGCTTTAAGCCTCCAAAGAGGGAGTTGTTCCATTTCAGGGGACTGTGGTGTCCTGCCTACCACAGAAGCAAGCCTGGTGCTACACGGCCATTTCCTCTCTCTCAACACCCAGACTCCAGCTCCTGCTCATACCTCCTGCAGTGGGATGTTGACCAGGGCCATCAGCTCCTTGATGGCTACTTGGAGCTCCTGAAACAAATGGTTCTGGGACGTGTCAGCCTCTGGCTCTGTGGGAACAGGCTCCTCCATGCTGACCCTCTTCTGCAGCCATTCCCACTCCTCCCTAGAGAAGGGCAGAGACAGAAACATGCAGAAGGGAGCACCTTGGGAAGCCCTGAAGACATAAGCACTATGAAAGCTGGGATGGCTCAGTTGTTCCCCCCATACTGTGTAGTATCCCAAGGGACGCAGAAGCTGAGGTTGTAGAGAGGGACCTTGGTGCGGTCCAGCTCTGGACTGCGCCGCATGGCAGGGAGGACGGCTGAAAGGGACTATTAAGCTCCTTCCAGAAACCCAAGAAGAGATGCGGCAGGCAGCTGAGAGGGGTGTTTTCAGGCTGGATTAGACACAGGAGTCTGGCTGCCAAACAAAACTGCCCTGAGTGAGTCTGCCCTGCAAGCCCCACCTGGAAATGTTGGGGTTGGAGCGTATCTTCACGTGGCACAGGATGTTGGGGAGCCGCTCTGGCACCAGCACTCGGATCTGATCCACAGCGCTACAGAGCTTCAAGTAGCCCAGGTAGAGGCCGGGGGAGAGGGCATGGCTGCTCCTCCGGTGGTAAGCCAGTTTGTCCTGAGGAGAGAGGACACTGCTGTAGAAAGCAACCCCTTGCAGTAGGACTCTCTCTCTTGCCCTCATCCTGGGTGCCGTGGCAGGGCAGTGGCAGAGCAGGTACAATGTGGTGCTGAATCCTGCGCCCGCTCAAGGCGACGGCGCTCCCGCTGTCTGGCCGAGCGCAGCGGTTCCTCTGCCAAGGACCAAACCTGTGGTGRCCGGGGCTCTGCTTTGGCCTTTCCAGCCTGACGGGGAGCAGGAAGCGCTGGCAGCCTCACAAAGGAACCCCTTGTCGGGCGTCCAGCCCCACGCTGCCATCCCCCGTCACTCAAACAATATCTGCCAGCCTTGAAAAGGGAAGCGAAAGGAGCAGCTGGAATAAAAGAGCTGGACGGACACCCGGGGGAAATGACTGCAGCAGCACAGCCTCTGAGCTGCTGGCTGGGCTGAGGTCCTCTGCCTCCCCCTCTGCCCGCTCCCTCGCAAGGCAGCAGCCACCTGCACCGTGATCAGCAGCGTGTCCAGGGCGGTGGGCTCTTCCGGGGACGACACGGACTTGCGGCTCGTCTGCAGCTTGCAGATAGGAACCCAGCGGACACTCTCAAAGGTCTGGTTGGTTTTCACCTCCTTCAGGGTCACGATGAGGATGTTGCCCTGCTTGTCTTTGATGGGCTCAAAGAAGACCTGTCCCAGGTCCTGGATTCCCAGTAGCCCCTTTGGGTAAAGAGTCAGAGAAAGAGCAGAAAGAAAAGCGATAGGTCAGGGAATGTCATTGAGTAGTTGCGTTCTGCAAGGTCCAAGCAGGTAGGGACGGGACAGGGCAGTGCTCTCACCTCTCTGCCTGCTGCAAATCAGCCCATCCTGGCAAAGTACCACACTGGAAATTGCATTTCCCTCTGCAGCAGGTTTTCCTTAAGCCCGATACCTAGTTATCCCTGTGACTGGGGACATGTCAATGACGATAAAGCAAAGGTGGCCAGTATTGCTGCTCACCTGCCCTCACCTCTTTTGCCAGGGAGAATGGGCATCTGTGCTCTTCTGCTCTGGCAACCAGAGCTGGCACAAGCTGAGGATCTGCCCACATGCAGCGCATCCATGTGTGGCTGCAATGGGACCCCTGCTCACAGTGGCACCTACAAAAGCATTTCTAAATCTCCACAGCTAGTGTGAGTTGTGCTGGGCACTGTGGGATGGGAAAGGCTTTTGTGCTCCCCTGCACCTCTCCTCACCTGCATTTGCGAGGTGGCCATCAGCATCTTGAAGCGCGTTTGCAGGATGCAGGAACAGGACGACTGGGAAACGGTGACACATTGCCGCAGCCACAGGATCTCCTCCCACATGCACGACACCTGCAGCACACCAAACAGGCTGGCACCRCCGCGCAGGGCTGCGAGCTGGCTCACACAGAGGCATTTTGGGGAAATCTAGTCTCCTTTCCATGGGGATTGCACTGGGAACGTGCACAGGTGCACAGCACCTTTCAGCATGCGCAGTGTCAGGCTGCACACACCTGTTTAGCTCAGAGGTGTCCCCAGGGTCTGTACCAAAGGAAGAGGTGGCCAGTGCCCAGCCAGATATCTGACTTTATCGAGGAGTGAAACCTTCTCAAATCTAAACAGAAGAGAGTCAAGARGTGCCTTCCCCTGCAATAGGGAAGAGTCATTTGGCAGGAGCTCAGTTTGGACCTGAGCTCCCACTGCTGCGTTTTCTTAAGTCTAATAACAGCTAAAGATGACCCAGAAGCATGTATGTCCTGCTTCTTAGAGAAAAACACAGCTTCTGCAACAAAAAGCTGTGGTGAAACTGYTAAATAAGGGGCTGCCCAATGTCTCTGCAGAGAGGCGGTGCAACGGCACACACATGCATGCAGTGCCACTCAGCCTGCCCAAAGCAGCACCCTATCTGCCCCTGCAAGCAAAGCCTGTAGTTGCCCCCCTCCTCAGGCTTTACAAGGCTAGGCTGTAAACATCTTTCCCCAGGGGCACGTCCGTCCCTGCAGAGCCCTGGAAAGCTGCAGGCCTGCGAGCTGCTCATACTGCAAAGTGCCAGCACCCCGAGTCGCTTCCAACACGGGGACAGCGGCGGTGSCAGCGAGGAGCTTGGTTCACCACCGCCTCGCGACTCCCACATTGCGCCAAGCTCTCGGCAGTGCACATGAGGGCAGCAGCGCAGAGGAGGTCCCGGAGGCAACGTGGGGAAGCCCAGGAGCTGCCAGATGTTCTGTCGTCTGGTGTGAGTTACTGAAGTAGCTGGGGCTTACTTCATCCACCTAGGGTGTCCACTAACATGGTGCAGCTGTTGCCGCCCCGCTGCGCTAGAGCTCCCTGGAGAAACCCAGGCAGCCCTGCATGAAAGCTCTGCAATGGGCACTGTGCTACCTGCTACAGAAAGGAGCCTGGCCAAGCACTTCCCTGCAGAGAAGAAGGATGGAGAAGCACCCAGTAAGATATTGCAGTGAAGGTGCTCTGCACACGAGGGCACATTTGGAAGACACAGAGTGCTCTGCCTTYGTCTCACTGGCATGTGGGGTGGTGACCAGTAGGACAGCTAGGGGCTGTAATAACTGCTGCTGTACCTCCAGTGCCTATGACAGGCCCCTGGGCCAGTTACCTTGGTAAACCACAGAAAATCCTGCATGAGCAGGCAGGAGTAGGTATCATCTATCTCCACAACAGGGATCTGATCTTCGTGGGTCACCAAGATGTTGTCATCCTTGTAGAAGACAGCTGTCAAGTAGAGACCTCTGTGCAGAGAGAACAGGCAGATGTGAAGGGTTGTCGATGGCTTCATTTCCAAAGCGCTCTCTTTCAAGAGATCATCTGAACCAGAGTCCTGAACTAGGCTCTGACCCATGAGATGGTCCTCTCTGACCATCTCATGGGCAGCTGAGTGTCAGGAAAGTGTGTGCCCGGTATCGAACATGCACATGGCAGCACAGACTTCATTGACAGATCTCAGCAACTGGCTATGATGGATCTGATTTGGAGGCAGAGAAACGTCTGGAGGCTGAATGCAGAGTTGGCTGGACTCTAGAGGAGGGCAGGACATGGGGTGACGCTTGGGGATGGTGGAAGGGGCTGTAGGGTATGAGTGCCCCTAGACTGGCCTGGGCGCTGCTGACTGCAAATGACAGTGAGATTGCAGCAATCAAAGGAGACACATTTAACCTCTGACTAATGACCTGGTCCACATCTCCAACCCAGAGCAGCAGTCAGTGACCCCAAAGAGGCTCAGGACAGGCAGGGACCCACTTCTGAGCACCCTACAATACTCCAAGACGGGCAGCCCTACATCCCTGCTGGGAACCGTGCTATCCAACCGCGCTTGCACTTGAGCCTCTCACCTCTTCAGGGTCTTGAGGAACTTGCTGCCAGGGTGGAAAAGGTGTTTGAGGCTCTTGGAGACCGAATGTTTCCGGCTCTGTGGCTGGTTCTTGCAGGGCTCTGGGAAAAGGACAGCAGAGGATGCCACAGCATGAAATGAAGCAAGGGGTGATGCCCACAAGCCCTGTGTGTGTCGGCTGCTTGCACCGTGGTGGCGGCATGACCAAACCGAAGCTTCTTGAGCTGGGAAACTCCCAGGCCTGGACACGCAGAGAGACCAAAGCCTCAGTAAGGCTGGTCCTTTCTGCAGGAGGGGAGCTGTGTCCTCTCCATGCTCCATCCGCTCCAGCCCCTCAGACCACCCCACACAGCCTGCCCTGCAGCGGCTGCCTCCCACCAGCCTCCCGCCAGGAGCAGCCGAGCAGACCCCAGCACGCCGCCCGCGGGCCCAGGCTCACCGTGGCAGACGCAGTGTTGGTGCACAGTCTTCACTTGGCTGAGCAGCTGGTCCAAAGCCTCGGCTTGGCCCCTTCGCCGCGGGGCCCTGCCGTCGTACTCGCGCCAGTCTGCGGAGAGAGCCCCAGTGCTACTCCCTGGCCACCTCTGCGCCAGGCTGCATCTCCAGCGCCTGCAACCCACGGGGCTGCTTGCAGGAGAAAGCATCCCCATGGCATGTAGCCTCCTGACAGCCACACTGACGTGTCCCACAGGCATAGCAGTGTATAGCATGGATGCTGCCATGCGTCCTGGAGTCTACAGCACCCTACAGAGGGGTGGGGTGGGTTGTCCTCTTCTTCCTGAGCACTGAAGATCACCACTACCTATCCAAGCAGCACCCTTTGAGTCACCAGCCACCTCATAGCAAGCAGCAGCACTGGCTGCTTGCAGGCAAGCTGGAATGGGCCAGCAGTGGCCAGCTGGAGGAGATGACCATGGCAACAGCAAAGCTGTGTCCGTCCCTGCTGCTCTTCACTGGTCTCATAAAAAGGCAAGTTCTCTCTAGCATCTTCCTCCAGGTCTTCCCTGGAGCTGAAGTTCTCTTCAGGCAAGCAGCGAGACCTTAACTCATCTAGATAAATATATAAATACGCTCTCTAGCCAGATCCACCCAGGTTTGAGATGGCAGCAGGGCCTGAAGATGGGGCCTGAGGGCTCTTTTACGTTAGCTTTACCTTAATTGCTTTAAACACCCCCCATCCTGCCTGCTGCTGTTTTCCATGGAAAGTTCAGCTCTGTTAACTTTGGCTGGGACTTGCCACTATTTTTAGGAACTTTAAAAACACCCGGGGAGGTGCCTGACTATATTCTGCTGGGCTAGGGAGGGCTCTTTACTGAAGGGAGAAATATTAATGCAGATAAAAATAATAAAAAAAACCCCAACAGTCAGGTCTGATTCACCCTGGCTTCCCTCTTATTTCTCCACTCTGTGGATCTTGCTCACAGAGAACTTGACCTGTGCTGGACAGCAAAGGGGCTTTAACGTGGGTGCAGACATAGTTGACACCCACTGCCAGCACAGCATAAAGCCACCTTAATGTGAATCTACATATAGGCTCATTATATACATTAAGATACATGCAAAAGTATTTGTGTTCCTTTCCCTATAAGTGCTATAATGCTCATGTAGCTGCAGCTAGACCCAGATACTCTTTCTATATATACTGTGTGTATGCATTCAGATCGAGACCCRCATCCATTTGTGTATTTCTAGGTGTACATCTTGATCTGTACCTACTTACACACTTGGAGATGTACATCTAGAAATCTCTGTTTATATTTCTAGCTGTAAATATGTATGCTGCAGGCTGCCTCCTAGCAGACAGCTCCATCGTGGTCTGAATGGAGCAGCACATCCAACTACTGCAACTCCTACAGTGAAGATTGCACTGATGGTTGCACGTCCAGCCCTCTGACCAGATGGACCTGCTGCTTGGCCAGATGTTTTTTTGTGTCCTGCTGTGAGAGGTTTTATGAGGTCTCTGGGGAGGTGGAGATGCGAGGCAGGGACCCCAATGCCTGCATCACCCTTCATTCCCCAGCTCCGATCCAGCTGCTATGATCTGTGCAATCCATCCAATGCACACACTAGCAGCAGCTGCCGTCCCACAGCCGCTGAATCAAGGCAGCAGAGACAACAGGCCTATGCTTCACCCTTGCAGGCTGCTCTTTCCCATTTATTTCTCTTGGCCTGTCTTCCCGAATGCTCTGGGGCTGTCTTGTTTGAGTTGGAATGGGGTGCTTTCTTTTTTTCCCCACGTGTCCTGATGCCAGCACGGGGAGGTGACCGCCGGCAGCCCAGGGCGAACCCGTGTGCGGTCCAGTCGGCAACCCCATCCCAGGCGAGGGCTTCGCAGGGCAACGAAACGCTGCCGTGCTGCCAGGGGGTCCTGGACTCGCTCACCTGCAGGCCTAGGAGAGCTCTGARGTCCGGAGGAGGGATCTCACAAGACTGTGCATGGCCCATCCTGGTTCATCGTTCCTTGGTGTTGGCAAATAGCTATTTTTGCGCTTGGCCACCCTGAGGCAGATTTCCTTGACCCCCTAGGCAAATCCCTCCTCCTGACACAGCCCACTGCTAAATCAGAAGCCAATGCTAAAACATCAAGTGGTGTTTGCCCTTTGCACAAACTGCTGCAATTTGTTTTCCTTTTAATTGAAAAAAATGCAAAATATTCTATTCCTCCTATCTTCCTTCTCAAGCATGGCTTATCCACATGGCTAAAACCATTCAGCTTTCACTGGGGACACTGCAAGCTAAMAAGTTCATTTTCGCTTGACCAAGTTCCTGTCAGCTGAAGGCAGCATTACCCGAAGGGAAAACACAGTCCCTCTCCCCAGCTTTAAGGCTCTGCTTGTACACTCAGGACATCCAGAGTTTCAGCATCCGTGCCTGTCCAAAAGGCCAATCTGCACCGTGCCCAAGCCAACGGGCCCTTGACACACCAGAGCAAGGAGCCTTGGCATCCCCAACCCCACTCCATCCTGAGCCCAATGTAGAGACTTCCACACGCGCTTCCTCGTCGGACTTACTTGAGGGAATGGCAAAAGGGGGCACTGAGCTTTGCGGGGGGCCCCAGCCCTTCATGTTGTAGGCAGACACCTGCACGTAGTACGCCGTGCCCTGCAAGGAAGGAAGCAGTGCTCAGTACCCCTGGCATCTCTTGTTATTGCTGAACGCTCTTGTTATTGGACCTTTGAGAATCTGCATGGCTCTGGAGGGTGTTTTGGAGGCAGGAGGAGAAGGATGAGATAATTTGAGAACGCCCCAGTGCTGGGGGAGGCTCGAGCCCCAAATCTCCGAGCTCCTGCCGCACAGCGGCGGAGCAGAGCCACCTTCCCAACAGGGGTGTGCAATGCTCTGAGGATGGAGCATTGGTCCAATGCTCACAGGAGCCTGTGGTGTCGAGATGGTGATTAAAGCCTCTGATTACCACTCAGTCAAGCCGCCAGATGTTCCGAGGCCTCAAGGCGCTCGTGAAAGCAGACGGGAGCCTGTGAAGCATGAACGACGGGCCTGGTGCAAGCTTCTAGCAGCAGCACTGCTCAGGCCCTCTGCTCGAGCCCCACCAGGGCTGCTCTCCTGCCTGACCGTGGCTCCGTCTACCTTTCCAGAGCTACTAACCTTCCCCTGCACATTAACACTTGCCACATGATGCTCCAGGTTGCTACTAACTTTCCTCAGTCTAGTGTGTTTTCTTTGCAAGATGAAAGTCACTGCCTTGTGTGCCTCCTCCACAAAACCTGCTGGTGGCCAGGACCCCCTCCAAGGCTCTGCTCTGGTGTGTGTGCGCACGGAGAAGGACTGCAGCCCACCGGGGAGGGGACAGCTGACAGGCAGCCTGAGTCCCGCAGTTCTCAGAGAGATAAAACTGTGGGGAGTCCTGGCCCAAACCAGCCCATTGACCTTGTTAAGCTCTCAGAGATGGAAATGGGCTGATTCTCCTCTCCAATTAGCTATGGAACTGGTGAAAGGGTTTGATCTTTGCAGGTGGCAGAGGAGCAAGTTGCTGATTTATTGGCCAAGAGGAACATGGGTGGAGACAGGAGCGGGCCGGGGGACAGGAGATAAATCAGATGCTTAGTGAATGGGCCTCTTTYCCCTTTCTCTAGAGCATTTCCTAGATGCTGTTTGCAGGGGATTTCTCTGCTGCTAGCACTGTGTCTTGCAAAGGCAGCTACAGACACCGGGTGTTGGAAAGACAGACATCTCTCCTGGCCCCAAGCTCTTGCTCACAGGTGGTGCAGGAAATTTAATCCACAAGGCAATAATCATAATCATAATAACTTATCCTGCTTGAAACCTAGGCCAGCTTTGCCGGTCAGCAATGAACAACTCACCGACACGAGTCCCCGGATGGTGAAGTGCAGRTTTTTCAGCTTGTCTATCACGGCTTCTCCCAGCGGTGGTGAGAAGGTCGGGGAGCAGCTCCACTCCACTGAAATGAGAGAGGACCCCATGCAGCCCTGGGCAGCCTCAGCACTGAGGACAGGGGCTGCCGTGGGCACAAGGAGGGACTCGGAGCCCAGCAGCTGCAAAGGGACTGCCTGAAAACCTGAGTGCGGCCTCTGGCCTGGACATCTGCACGAGCGGGACACTGCTGAGCAAGGGCAGCAGGGAGAGAGTAGGAGGCACAAGGWAAGGGACAGCACAGAGAACTGTCTGCCACTCTGTGGACTGTGACCCCCCACCCTGAGCCATGTCCAACAGGGTTCATGCCTTCACAGGCAGAGAACAAGCCCAGAGGTGGAAGGGGAGAGACAGATGGGTCAGAGAAAGGTGAGAGGGACACAACTTGAATAAACAGATCAATTCAGGTCGTAGTGTTGCTTGACAGAAGGGAATTCTCCCGGAAGYCAAACATAGCTAGGCTTAAATGGTTGGGGAGAGCAGCAACAGATGTGAACACCAACTGGGCCCTGTTCTAGCAGGATCCTTGGGCCAGCATGGGAAGTGGCAGGACTGCAAAGCTCTACAGCACGCAGAAGAAGAGGGTGGCAAACAAGAGGCATACTGAATTTTAGCTTGGTCCAAGACATTGATTCAGGCCAGATGCAACAGTTTGTATGGCAGCCAGGCCATCTCTGGGGTTTGCAGTCCTGGTCTCTTCCCATGCTTAGGTGCAAACACAGCTCTCCAGGGATGTGGTAGCACTGTGGCATGTCCTCCTAGCAAGTCACGTGCACAGGGAGAGTGTCYCATCCGTGTCCCACTCGTGCACCTGGGGTGCTCCCCTCCTCTGTACACGCAGTGGAGACGTGAGTCTCCCAAGATTCTGACCTTTGTACTTGGTGACGACCGCGGAGTTGACACTCAGGGGCTCCCAGAAGCTCACGTGCACGGAGGAGCTGCTGGCCACGGAGAGGTGGACATTGGTGGGGGCGTCCGGCACTCCTGGGGATGGAGAACATGGGGACAGTTACAGTGATGACTGTCACTCCAGGTCCTTTACTGCCTTGTGTCCTTCCTGGGCCTTCCCTCCCCACATTCAGTCACATTCCCAGAGCCAGTGACTGCCATGCAAGTCCTCAGACTGCAGGTCCTGGATGCTGCAGCATCAGCTCTAGACCCATGTATTGCCCCCCTCTACACATGTGCCCTCCATCCCTGCAGCTGGCACTCACGGGCATGTTCAAAGCCAGCCTTCATCCGCTTGTACAGCCGGTATCGCCACTCCCAGGCCTTGAGCTGCTTCTCCTTCTCAGAGCAGTCAGTGTTGGGAGCCTCGTTCACCACCTGTGCTGTCAGCTCGTTGACACGCTGCTCCGCTTCCCGCACCAGCGTGGAGAGGTGCAGGGAGCGGCTCTCCAAGCTCACGACTGGGGAAGCACCCAGGCAAGGACGGTGTGTCCCGGGCAATATGGAAAGGGAGAGAAGATGATTAGGCCATGCCCAAGCCCTGCATCCCCATGATCGCTACGGTATACTGCTTCTGGGGACCCTCAACCAAGCTCTGTTATCCAACGTCCTCAGTTGTGTTGAGCTAGAGAGCCTGGATGTGCAGCCAGGGAAGCTCACCCGCAACCAACTTACAGTGTGGGCTCTCCTTTGCTCCTGCCTGGAGCAGTGCCTTGGCTATAGGAGCGTTGTTGGTCATGATGGCAATATCCAGGGGAAGCAGCCCCTCGCTGTTTGGCGTGTTGAGATCCAGCTCCTCAGGGCTGTACTGCTTCAGCAGCTCCTGGACCCTGTCAAGATCCTGCAGCTCCACGGCCTCAAAGAGGGCGGCATTGCTCTGGATCTGGACAAGGCAAGAAACGCAGGGTGGCTGAGCACAAGGGAACACTCCTTCATCCCACCCAACCCCTCAGGCCGTCACCAGCACCACAGASGCACCAAATAGGGTGGCTGTCCCTGCACCAAGGTATGACTTTCTTATAGACAAAGGTTCCTCAGATAGCTGAGGGACCCCCTGGGCCAGCTCCAGCTAAGCTTGCCGCAGTGGAGTTTCATTTCATGCAGCCCTGGGCTTCCACCCCAAGAACCACCACAGACAGCAGCTACCAYGCACACCTACATCCCTCTTCCCCATCTGTGGAACACCGGGCAAGGCCATGGAGCGACCATGGTCAGGGCTGGTGCACAGCCACTCATGGGACACCGACCAGGTAGGATTTGCGGAGCTTCTCCTTCTCGCTCCTGCCCACCAGGCTGCCCTCATCGAAGGACGTGTAGTTGACGCGGAATTTCCCCGATAGGTTTCGGTAGAGCCTTTTGGCAGCGTTCGGTGAAGAAGGCCCTGGTGGCTTCCTGGCCTGTCCCAGCTGGAGGTCCCGCATCTGCTGTGTCATTTTCGGGGAGGATGACCTAGGAAATGGAGAAAAAACGGGGGGTAAAGAAGACAGGTGAATATCCAACCTAGCTCAGCCGCAAGAGTGCACCAGAAAGCCAAAGGCAAGCAATCTGTGGCAGGAGGGCTGCTTTAAGACACCAGAGAAGAACCATGGACAAGCCAGACATGCTCTGGCTTCTTCTGCATTAAGATGTTACCAAACACAGGGAAGGTGCAAGGTGGCAAGTGATGCCAGTAATGTCCTCATGTATGTGTCTTATCTTAGATTTTTGGGAGGAAGGTCTTGCCTTGGCCACTTCATTGGTTAAATATCAAGCAAGGGCTGAGCACGACGAAAAGCAGGACAGTTGTCTGGAAGGTCATGCCAAAATGCTACCGCAAAGCTACAACTGCGATGATGATGTTCATAATCATAATCATAAGAAAGCAGGACATTTACAACAGCCTCACTATGTGCTCCTCATCATCCTGATTTCACATTAGGCACAGTGGGCTGCAGAAGTGCTTTAATGATTTTACCTTTTATTACTGTGATAAGTAAATGCAGTCAATGGTGGGGAGGTTGGCACCTGCTGGTCACCTCATCTCCCTGGGTTCAGCCTACAGAGTGGGATGTTTTAAGTGAGGCCTGGGCTGCAGTGTTGAGCTGCTGCTCTGGATTTTTTTGGGGTGATGAAATGTTCTCCAAATGTAGGGCTTTGTGTTGTCCGTTTTATGGAAACAGCTTCAACAGATATACTGAGAACACCAAGCACACGAGCTTCCGAAGGCAAGTCAGATCTCCAGGTTAGTGAAATTCATGAAGCATCTTATTGTTTCTAACAGAGGACCAAGGACAGCAGCTCTGCACAYGAAAAAGGCTGGCACGAGTGACATCATCACGTGGGCAGAGACCTTGTGAAACACAGCAATGGTGGGGTGGAGAGCCAGTTCTGGGCCAGTTGGGACACATCTGGTTCTGGATGCAGATTCCTCATCTTATGGCCATGCTTCCTCTTATTTCCTCAGGGACATAAAGAAGCTCCTGTCAGGACCAATATGGGCATGGCAGACCAGCTGAACACCTCTCATACCAAGATGCTGGGGCTTGACATCGGGCAAGACTCTCCAAATCAAAGGACTTAAGAAGCTTCATACAGCTCTGCTGTCACTGGTAGACAGAAACTCAAAGAGAAAACTCAGTGATGCCCCTCCAGGAATGGCACTCTAGCAGGAAAAGTCAACCAGAAAGATAGTCCCTGGCTCAAGAAGTCCAAAGAAGCAAAGTATTAATTGATGTATTTAGGTAAAAGAAATAATCAAAAGACACAAAAGATTCTGAAGCAAATTTTGCCCTTTCTCTCATACCTAAAAAAAGCTCCCTGCCACATAATCCTTCATCTCTTCATCCCCAGTTAGACTTTGGAGGTCCCAGTGTAATGGGACACTGCCGCATGCAAGTTTGGAAAACCAGAGTTCAAGAGGAGAGTGCTTTGGAGCCGAAGCAGGGTAATCTTTTTTTTCCACCAAATAATATAGTTGGCAAATGATCCAGTCCCGGCAGACTCCAGAGTTTGGAGGAAGTTATTCAGAGGTAGTAGAAACAAAAGAGAAAGAGAAATTTGTCTCCATTTTCCCTCAACTGATTTGCCTGTAATGAGAAGTAAAGAGACGGAAATTATTCAGAGCTCAGGAGTGAACATCAATCTATATTAAACCGGCTGCCCCAAAGATAAAAGAGTTTCCTGCCCTGTGGTTATGACTCATCTGGCCTCAGTGAAGTGGTCCTGATTTATCTAGAGCTAAACCATGCGGTGGAGCAACTGATAGCTGCAAGCAACACCCGTAGATGCCATGTCCTTAAGACCCGACCAGCCAACACGAGCTCATCCTGATGGCAAAGCCTCATCCTGCCAGGGAAGTGGTGGGAGAAGGTCAGAGGAGGCAGGGGCTCTACAATTAGCTCATCTGCCCTTGTGGCTTCAGGGAAGCTGGACTAAATTTATCTCCACCACCATGAGTTCTTGCTGCTCCTGAGTTGCCTACAGATTATTGCCAGCACCACTACATGGGCAAGGGCACCCTCCTGTGCCAGTGCCCTGCGTCCTTCCGCCTGCAGGACACATTGGTCACTGTGAGGAAGATGTCAAGGACAACAAGACTACACTGCCATAAAGTCACATGCTAGCAGTTACTAAGAAACTCCATCACCCAACCCATAGAAAAGGCTGAGGTACCTCCAAAGGATGCAGTAGGGTTGGCCAGACCCATTTCATTAGAGCAATGCCTTTTTGTTTGTTTGTTTGTTTGTTATACAAAAAAAAGACATGAGGATGGATGTGCATAAGACAACTTCATTTTATCCTTCTCTTTTCCTGTAATGAACACAAGCAAATCCACTGGGTAGTTTATAATGTTGTGGTTTCAGCATATCCTGGGTTTTAATGTTTCCAGTGCTGCAGATCTTGGCCTAGTAAACAGTGTTAATAATTGTTGTAATTATATGATTTTAAGTGCATTTTGTTTAAGGGCGTAGCCTCTCTGAGACTCCAGCAGAGAACCAGTCCCTGTCAGACAGGGCTGCTCTGTCCTGTTAGCGGAGAAGCAAAGAGCAGACCCTGCAGCTCACTGCGACAACCCYGACGCACCCCAAAGCCAAGCCCAGCAAGGCTGGGCCACCTCTGGGTCTGCTGCCCCAGAACTGCAAACCCATGGAGGGACCACACGCTTCGTTTTCCTTGCTGCCAAGCAATGTGTCGGACACTGGAGGTACCTGGTTGAACTGGCAACGTGTGTCCTGCCCGTAGGTCAGCAGAAGTGACTGCCTGGGATGGCACATGCTAGGCAACCCAAGCCATCTACCCCAAGTAAAAGCCTGGGTTGTGGCAAGGCTGGTATCATGACCCACTTCAAGTGCTGGAGATGGTCTTCAAGCCAAAAGCCAAGACTGAGGCTGCTAAGACCTCACCAAGCTCTCCCCATATTCTCCTAGCTCCCCACACACCCTGTTGGCCCTGCAAAGAACAAGCTCATCACGGTGCCTACTCATGTTGGCAGCAGGAGGGCAGATTCCAGCCCAGAGTGGCAGACATGAGCTCAGCATCATCCCCAGGAGCAATGTGGGTGGCTTGTCACTTAGAGAAACTGTTCCTGGCTCTCGGCAGCCTTATGCAGCAGAGAGGAAAAAAAAAAAAAAAAAAAAAAAAAAAAAAAGAGGCTTTGTGCACAAGAAAAAGGGAGTCCCAAAGACAGATGATGAAAGGTGTTGACCTAGCACATAAACAAGCTCCTTTGGGCTCTTGTGGCCCTGAACCAGAAACGCAGCTTCCAGCACGAACAGAAACTGCTGGTGTGCTCATATTTGATGCCTGAGTATAGGTGGTTCTTCAATATTGAAGAAAACAGCGCGGGAGTAGCAAAATGCTTCCCCGAACAGCGGGACACAGCAGTCTGCACTAACACCCTGCTGATATCCGTGTCCCCATGTCGGGAGTCCTTTTCAAGGCCTCTGATGGTTTGGCAAAATATCTTAACTAGGTGAGCTTATGTGCTGCTATTCCAGGCCCTTCCCCAGCAGCATGGACACTGTGGGAAGTCACCAGGAAGCTCTTAGGGACTGTTTGATGTTGTTCCTACAGGGTGCCATGGGTCATGCCGCTCAGTCACGCGTGCTGGGAGCACATGAAGCTCAGCCCATGTGTGAGGGATGTCCTTTCACTAGGCACAGCCCTACCTTGGAGATGTCAGAGGGGCATGACCAGACACTGCCAGGCCAAAAGAAAACAGAATGAATGAGCCACAAACATCTGCCAGGCACTGACCATGACACAGCCCTGTTGAGCTGGTATCAGGATGGGGAACAGGAGGTGAGCGGATGGAAGATGGAGGGATGCAAGACACAGCCAGGCCCACGGAGCACTTGTGGAGGAGGCAGTGCTTTGCCTGAATGACAGCAATTTCTCCTCTCAGTTCACCCAGACCAAGACGTGCAGAGGAGCCTGGCCCCGCAGAGTGGTCCCAAGGATGATTCTCTGGAGACGGGCTGCACAGCCCTGTCTCTGCACCAGAACTATCTGCCCAGCTCGAAAACGCACTTGCTTAACCCAACCTGGGCCTGAGGAAAGGCAGCACACCAGACTCAGGGCTTGGTGCGCTTCCTTCCTGCGGGTTTTCTCCTTTTCTTCCCACTTGGCAAAGTTGCTGGGTTTTGTTTTGAATGGAGCTGAAAAYGAGCATGCCTCTCTTGTTTAGCAAAAACAACTCCAACTTATGGAGAGGCTGCTCCTGCCAGGACATTTTTGTTTGGGCTCCAGCAGCCCAGCTCTCTCTGGYCCATGAGAGACAGCAAGGCCTTTAGAAGCTGGATGCTTTAATGGACATGGAGGAGAAGGCCACAGTCTGGGGACAGCCTTCATTGCCATGGATGCACTTAGCTCCCTGCACCACCACAGAGGCCTCTGTCTGGGTCCCTAGTGCCCTAGAGAGACCTTTCCCCSAAGCAGGAGGCTGCAGGAGGCTGAGGACCTCCTTCGCTAGGCCCCTTGGGCCAGCTGGAGGGTAGGGAGCTGCTCCTTCACGGAGCAGGGCGGGAATGTGCAGCACTCGTGCCCTGGCACCATCGTGCCACCTCTTTCCTAGGCACCGTGGCGCCCGCTGGCAGCGCGGCCGGGACGAGCCTTCCCGTGCCGCCTTCCAGCCCTGCACCGCAAGCCCCGGAGCCAAGTCCTGCGTAAATCATACGCTCTAAATTTGAGCGAGACAGAGCGTTTAGGTTAGTGAAAACTTTGGGACTCTAAGAAAGGTTCAGAGCCAACCAAGTAGATCACTTGCTGACAGTCTGCGGAGGCCTGGCCTCCCATAAAACACACCATTTTCGCAGGCCAAACAGTAAATTTGGGGGAGGAAGGGAACGGAGGAGCTCAAACAAATCCTGTTGCAATACAATAGTGCTTTTTCTTTTTTTCTTTTCCCCTAATTAAGCATTCTGATTGGGGTTTTTTAAACGAGCCCAGAAGGAGCCTGTGGCTCAAGTCCC